AGAAAACCGATCTCTGGAGGCCTATCGGCCCCTCTCGTGTTGATATTCGGAATCAGCATGGTTGACTACCTATAGTCAAATTTCAGCGAAATTCCATACTGCATGACGGAGAAAACGCACAAATAGAATTTATTGGTTTTGGACAGGAGACGCTCGAACGAACGGCTCATTTTTTCCGAAAGGAAGAAAGTGACCGTAGGGAAATTTTTTATTTCGTGTTCCCTGATGATACTAGTATATAGTCCGACTAAAGAAAAAAATTTCCAAGCAAGTTTATTTTGTTGACTTTTTTTAGTCATACCGTACAATAGCAGCGCAATCAGCCCATATACGTATTTTGCCTTAAATTTAACAAGTAATCAAAATATGACATTATCTTCTTCTGTTGCAAAACGTTCTAACATATGTCGCATATTTTACATATATTTGAGCCAATTATATTAAACAAAATCGAACATCGTTTAAGTAAAATGGAATTAGTTATAAATGAATTAGACGTACGTTTAAATGATATAGAACGACATAATCGCTCATTCAGTCTTAGATTTTTAAATGTGCCAGTTGAACGTGATGAGGATTCAATTCAAACTGTTGCAAATATAGGTTATGAACTTCGTCAAAGTATAGATTATTGTGATATAGAAAATGCACATAGAATACCTATTTGATTATTAGCTCTAGATAATATTGGGTCATCATTAGCGACGACAGCGCATCCTGTATTAATATTTATTCACGTTCATTACGGCATGCTGTATTCGCTGCAAAATCTAATTTGAAATATTTAAATGATCGTCATCCATTAAAGTACATTAATATTGTCGAAGATTTATCTAAACGCAATGCTACTATATAGCGTTTAGCACGTGCAAAAGTATCGAAACAAATAAACATAAAATATATTTTAGTAATGGGCGTATGTATTATCATGTAAGTTCAAAAAAGAAACTTCATTTAAAAGCAGTAGATGATATTGATAATACCACAAAGTTAGACGTCTAGTTTGATCTTCTTTCTAGCGTGTGTTTACCTGGCAGTGTTTTATCTCTCTTCATATCATGGTCTGTCTAGGCATTATACATATATGGGCATAGTTCGTCTTTCAGATGAGTTCTTACTGTTACCGGTTATTTTTCTTTTCGTTTCTATTCTTACTTGCGTATGTAGGAAGAGAAAAATCATTTTTATATCCTTTTACATCTATACTGTTCGCCTCAGTAGTAGTAGCAGTAGTGTCTCATTATCAATGTCATATGTGTTGATCACGTATTTTCTTCCAACGAAACGTGAAATCAACAAAAATTAAGACGCTCAAACTAGACATAGTTGGACCAAAATGAATAGTCACGGCTTATTCTTAAATATTAGAAGCATGTTCGCTCCCTCATCACATTCGAATACAAATGTCTCAAAATTTGAATTACTTTATGAATATATGAATAGTACTGATCCCCTTATGATTGGACTTGTTGAGACGTGGCTAGATCATTCGATACCTAAAAGCGATGTACCTTTACCTGGGTATAAATGTTTTCGTAATAATCGTGATTCACCTGGTGGGGGATGTGCATTTTACGTAAAAGATAGTGTACCGTTGATTGAAGTAGCTAGAAGAAACGATTTGAAATCTGAATGCCTATTTATGAATGTTCTACTTCCTAATATTGGAAACACTCTTTTCGCTGTATGCTATCGATTTGAAGAACCAGTAAGAAGCTTTCTTGACAATTTACAAACAACATTAGAAGATTTGTCAGAGTAACATACATACCGACGAGTAGTTTTGATAGGAGACTTTAATGGACATTGTGTAACATGGTATAAAACCAAAAACTAGAGAAGGAGAAGCTTTATTCTCTTTTGCGCATCACAATAATTTACATCAACTAATTAGAGAACCAACTAGACGTGTAGAAGATATTGATTGGTTACAGATAAATTGCGTACATTACTGAGAAAAAGAAATAGAGCATACCGTAAATATGTTAAAATTAAGTCTACTCATAGTCATCAAAATTACAATTTATTAGCTTCACAGTTTAACGAACTCTGTGCACAATCCAAAAAGGAGTATATAGAACGTATTAATAATACTCAAAGCTCGAGTAAACTGTGGTAGAGAGCACTTAATTTTTGTCTAGGAAGAAAAAAGAGGTCATCAGTACCACTAATTAAAACTACTACGAGTGACTGAGTGTATGATAACTATAAAGCTGACGCACTTAATTCCTGTTTTGCGTCTATTTGTACGTTACCTACTATTGACAATCAAAAACTTGTACCTTATACAAACATGTCAACTGAGAAAATATCTTCTATTAATAATATATTCTATCATTTGCAGAAGTAGAGAAAATTCTTGTGAGAGTAGATGTTAATAAAGCTAGCAGTCCTGGAATAACAACCAGACTATTAAAAGAATCTGCAATTGTGACGTCTAGTTATATAGCTCGTATGATAAACTAATCTGTTGAGAATGGAATCTATCCTGAATCGTTTAAAACTGACTACGTAAACGCATTGCACAAAGCTGGTGATGCGTCTAGTGCTTCTAATTATAGACCGATTATACTTCTTCCAATTTTAAGTAAGGTTTTTGATAGAGTTGTGCATAAGCAGCTGTATCAGTATTTGCGTGCAGGAAAATGCGAGAAATTACTAAATTTGATAAAAAATTTAAAAAGAACATTTAGCACAAAGTCATTTATATATCCGATAATAACATATGCATGTTGTGTTTATATAAATAAACATAACATCTACACTTTTGATAAAATTCAATATAGAGCTAGTTTGTTGGTATCAGGATCATTACATTTATCTAACCGAGAGAACGTACGAAAAATTTTAGGATGGACTGTTTTAGAAACGTCAATTGAAATTTACAAATTGAAATTAATGAATAAAATTGTGTCAAATCAGGCGCCGATTTTTCTTTGTAATCCTATAACACCAATGATAAATAATAACTATGGGATTATTTAAATATAACTACTATAAATAATAACTAATGATAAATAATAACTATAATAACTAACTAGGTCGAATGGGCCAAGCAAAATTCAACCGATATATAGTAGAAGCGAAGCTTTTTGTTCCTCCTATTTCCCGCAAACGATTAAACTATGGAACAAGCTTCTGCTAGAGCTTAGGAAAATTTATAAGTGTACTCACTTCAACGATGAACTTCTTCGACATTATAGGTTTGTGGAAAAGATGCCACTGGGGTAGACAGATTTGCTTTTCAACAAATGAGAGTTGATTTCTCAGTCTTAAAAAGTGATTTATTTCGAAGACATATTATAACTGGTCAGGAAGCTAACCTTTGTCAATGTGGGCAAGTTGAGTCTGTGAAACATTATTTCTTTCATTGTCCCAACTATCGTTGAGCTAGAGTGAAACTATTTGAAAAAATAAAGAAACGCGACCTTCATATTGACATTGATATACAGACACTACTGCGAAGAAACTTTCACTTTGACCAACATTTATTTTCTAAAGTTACACTAAACTAACACCTCTGCGAATAAAGTGACTGCGCAAGAGATGGCGATGGCACCGTTCACTCATATTTAATATCGAATAATGAAAGGCTATCGTTCTTGAAAAAGCTTCGGACTAATAAAGTACATTATTGCTACAGACCCTGATCAAAACATGATTTAAAACTGCTCTCTCTGGAACAAATTGATTGTAGTCGCCATCCGTAAAAATCAATCGATGACACAATGAATTGGAATAAAATACAAGAGGCAGTCCTTCATTTATTGATAAACGATATGAATATAAAGAGAAAGTCAAACAAGCAAAAGATGGTATAATTTGACTGCAAATATAAAATAGTTTTTTTCACTTTCTTGCCTTCTATAACACTCCCCAAAAATCAGTTAAACGTTATCTTTGAGTTTTTTAAGTATCCGAAGCCCTTTGAAAAATCAAATATCAACAGTAGTACAAGTTCACGTATGAAAGTTGTAGAATCTCATAGGACAACGCTTTCATTCCATTATGAGCTTGGTGACAAAGCGACCCCACGAAAGGTTTGCTTGGTCCCCGCATTGACGATCGGAGTCCCTAGAACATTAGCTGGGATTGTTTGATTATAGCCAGATGTATCGGTTAATGTGTACAATGTGGTAGAAGTGGTAAAGAAAAGATCAACGCGCGTACCGGAAAGTTTACCGGTAAGACCATGTGCAGAGTTGGTCGGAATTGAGCTGGAGCTGAGAAGAGTCCAGTTGCCGCTAACATAACACCATTTTGTCAAAGAATTATTACTATCATCGACTAGATAAAGAGTATCTACGCCTGAGACATTAGCATCTAGATCAGCGAAGAAAAATGAAACTGGACTGTTGGTAAGGCTAAATCCAGGAAGATTGGTGATATTATTTCCACTGGACATTGGCGTACCTGTTCCAACACTGCCAATACGAACTGAGGATCCCGTGCTGGTACTGACATAAAGCTGGTTAGCGAATATCGCTGTTTGACGAATATTAGTCACGGTTGCACTTATATTGGTGAATGTATTCGAACCTAACGTTGTATAGAGTAGACCTGCAGTACCGGCGAACCAGATATCCATACCGTTTGTACTGGCAGCACTGCGAATCCCTTGCCCGGAAAGGTTGGCTGTAGTTGTGGTGTCTATTGTTCCATTTTTGTCTACTCGTCCCACAACACGAGAAACGGACGATGTAGCAACAGTCGCTGAACCAATGTCTGCATTGTAACCAGTCAGCATAACAAAACGACCATCAGTTGAAAGAGTCATCAAGCCTTCCAGAGTTGCTGTACCACTAGCAACAAGCTTCATATTACTACCGCTAACCGTCGTTGGTAAGCTCGTAGTTTTCACGAAAATACCTGTAAACGTGTATTCGTCTAAAAATACCGGTGTACCAGCACTAGTCAAAGTAGATGTACCATCGCCAACACGATAAATCACAATGGTATTCTCTAAAGGAAGGACAAACGTAACAACAAACTAAGAATCTCAGCCACTTTACCTTGACAATTCCCACTGGTTCCATTACCAACATAACCATCTTCACATGTGCAGTTTACTACTTTTGTTGTTGTGTCATATGAACATGTTGCATGTTCGTCACAAGGATCGTCTTTACTTCCACAAGTATTTTTGGAATATTGGAGCTTTAGTTGACAACTAGTGCTCTCTGATATTGACCAAGCCAACTGACATGCTACAATTAAAAGTAACAGGAGCCCATACCATAATGATCGTAACATGTTTTCTTATTATGAAACAACGTTTGCTTCTCTACAGAGAGATTTGATGTGATGGCTTATTCAGTTCCGAAAACACGAATCGGTTATATAACACTTTTAAATCAAATAATAGAACACCTGGCACATTCGATTGATTCGTATTTCATTTCATCGAACACTTGGCCATGTGTTCGATGATACTGAAATAGGCTGAATATTGATGAAAAACTTTTGTTCTTAACAGTCATTTCATTACAATCATATGACACTACAAGAAACATGTACGATTATTTCTGCATCATAAAACCGATTAATGTTTTTACAACTGAATAAGGACGATCTTTCTCTACAAACGATCATATCAAACCTCCCTGTTTTTTCTCGTTGTTTAACAGCTGAAATATCGACTGCAGTTAAACCGGTCTTTGTGCAAAAGAAGAGGACTACTACTTTACTACTTTCGGACGTTTTAACTAGTGTCTTGGATATAGAGTAACATACAAACGTTATTTACTTGTTTGACATGCTCTTTATATTCATATCGTTCACCAATAAATTAAGAACTGCCTCTCATATTTTATTCCAATTCATTGTGTCATCGATTGATTTTTATGGATGGCGACTACAATCAATTTGTTCCAGAGAGAGCAGTTTTAAATCATGTTTTAATCAGGGTTTGTAGCTATAATATACTTTATTACTCTAGTACTTTTCATCGGGTCGCCACCCATGAAAAATTCGTTTAGAAAATGACTTTATCGAAATTGCTGGAGATTAAAAAATTGAACGGATTAAAGCGTAGCAGCTGTTACTACCCTTCAAAAATGTTTTTTAGTCTTTTTTAATACTCCTTTTGCCTTAAAATCAAGGACTTTGTGAGTGAATAGCACAAAAACCATCTATGCACTGTGAAAGTTAGCCACTCTCGTGCATTAAGAACATTAAACAACTCACGGTTTTTACATAATGAATGATACTGAAATATGCCGAATGTTAATGAAAAACGTTTGTTGTTAACAACCATTTCATCAGAATCATATGACACTACAAGAAATATGTACGATGCAGATTTCAGACCAGAGGTGGCAAGTTCGACCATCTCGAAGTCTAACAGAAACTTTTTCTGTCAACTTTAAGTTCTAGTCGAAGCTCTTCATAGCAGTTTCTGCCCCATACAGTACGACACATACTGCAGACCACGGACTACTAGACGCTGGAAAGAAAATCTCTCTCTTTTTTTATCTTTGCGGTATAAAAGAACAAAATTGTCGCATACTTTGCTCGAGCACTTTTGAGACTCACTTTATGGATGAAATTTACTTACTCGTCTTATAGAATTATCAAGCCTTAGGCCAAAATTCTAAAATTTCATTTTTTAGCGTTTTTACTAAAAATTCATCAAGAATAACGTCTCTTGTCAGGACCAACAAGAAAATTTGAATAGAGTTGTTTCTCGCACGAGAGGTAGATTGTTTTCTGAACTCATTGTCTGTATATTGATCCGTCCGAGAAAGGCATTGGTGAAGATTGTTAGTATTGGTTGCTGAGTGTAATCGATTTTAACTCTTGGACTTCAAAGAAACTTGATAAAAAGTTCTCATGTACAAGTCTGTCAAAAAAAGCTTCAACTCCGAACTTGGACTTGCTCACCTCTGGTTTCTAGTTATTAGAAGAAGACGGAAGAATAGCCACCTCACAGTGGGCATTTAGGCGGCGTTTTCTGAAAAAATCGTAGGTGCGAATTTTTTTGTTTTGAATAGTGGTGTATATAGTATAAACAATTCCCTATTTAATGATAAAAAATTTTTTGTTCTAGCTCCT